CAAGGTTGAAAATCAGAAGTTATTTATTTCACAGCCTGTTTGCCCACAGGGAAATACAGAAGTAATAGTAAATTACTTCCATATCAATGGAAAACACTAAAATGCTCACTATCAAGCAACCAATCAGAATTAAGCTACACCTGGAAAGAGGGAAAACAAAGATTTCTCTTTTTGTTTTTCCACTTATATTCATATATCTCAAAGTTTCCCCTAGTTGCATCTTTCTAGGTTTAAGTATGCAAATGGGTGAACTTGGGAAAAAAACCCCAGAAAGCTGTTCTCATAGTCTTAAGTTTAATTTTGAATATCCTATTTTACCAGGAAACATATTAGAAATAATTTTTGTAGTTAAATCTGTCATACCCATTAGTTCTGACCCTTTGCAATATAAAAAAAAAATTCAGACAGACTGTTGTTAGACACAATACTGTGAGTTAGACATGGAGTCTGAAGCCATTCACAAACTCTTTTTCCCCTAGGTAAATACTGCTATTACTACTGCAGTACTGTGAAGTGCCTTTTTGCCATACACCAAACAAAGGCACAGCCCATGCAGCTCTACACAGCAAGCTGTGAGTCAGACATGAACAGTATGCCCCATCTGGGCAAAAAGTGTTAAATCCCACCAATGGTCACAGCAATTCTACTCACTGCTGGCTGTGCCATTGCAAGAGAAAATCAGTCAGCTCAGAATTAAAATGGAATGGAGGGCAAACCCACTACAGCTCATTAGAGACATCTGACATCAGAGTGCACAAATTATAGTATAGTATAAAGGCATAATCAGAGCTTCTTTCACTTCTTGATAAAGGATGATTTTATATATTATCTCCTATTTATTCTAAATCTAAGCAGAACAACATAAATTTAGTGGAAGCTAAAACAGTATACATTAAAGCATGTTGCTAAAATGAAATTTAGAAGTTTAGAAACACAAAACCCAGTTTTAGTTTAGAAGTTTAGAAACCCACAAAACTACAGGAAAAGCAAAGAACTACAGGTGCCTCTCAATCCCAAATTAGCAACAGCAGCACACCAGATGTTTGCAAGGTTCTCTACAGCATCAACTTTATAGTGCTTTCCCCTGCAATCAGGAAGCCATTGCCATTTACCTTCAAAGTTTTGATTCTGAGTGTACTGAAAAAATCTCCTACGTGCAATGGTCACCTCATAGCCCAAGTCTGCAAGCAAAACCAAAATTTCAAGTGCACTTCCAACAGAGGTGATGAGCCCTGGCTGTTTGAAACAATGTCAGAATCTCAAATTGAGGTCTGTTAAGGCTTTTGGCTGTAAGACATGCTCCACACAAACATCCCTGCAAGACAATCTCTGCTCACTTGAGCTCTTCATTAGAGATGATGAGGTGGTTACAACAGTGACAACAGACTGGATGCTTGAACAGAGACTTAGATATACTTGTAATGTATATCACTACCCAAGAAGAAATGCCTGCTACTCTGTAAATCAGCCATAACCATATGGCTATATAACCATAATATATAACCATAATTTTCAGCTAAGTATATTAATTCCAAGATGCTTTTCAGCTTCAGAGGAAATTCTTATTAGGGCAGGGATTTGTAAAACACCTCCTGCAATTGCTTTAATGAGAAGCAGTCTAAACTACAAAGAGAAAGCAGCCAATACTCCACAATTTTGTTCTCTGCCAAAGGCACCCTTACACCTCCTTTGAAGCTCCAGGGGAAGTGAAACTCTCCCTAGAATAAGAAACACTACACATGACCTATCATAAAAGGCTGTTATTCCAGGAACAGTACAGTATCCAGAGCCAGAAATGATTGGATAACTCAGTAAGAGTCATCAGTCTGCATGACCATATCCCTCAATGTGCAATATCATGCCTATAGTGGTTTTGCATTTCTAGGCCTGTTTTGGGTCATGCTGCTGTGAAGTTCTTCCATCAATCTCTTCTTAAAAACTCCAAAAAGAAGCCTCAGGATATCATAACACACCACAATCTAAATTATCTTGAATGAGGCCATCTGGGTTTGATTCTTACCCTCCAAAATGTCTTCATAAAGTGCATGTACTCCTTCTGGCACAATGACAGCCAAGGCAGTTCCACACAGGAGCCCAGCACCCAGAACAGTCACCAACTTCAATCTCTCCTGCAATTAAGTACAAAACAAGTATCATCTTTAAGAATGAAAATACTTTCTTTACTCTCCCTTATTAACAGATGTTGGGGAAAGGGGTTACTTGTTACACAAATATTGAGAATTTGCAATTAAACCTTAACGACTATATATAAACATTATGTTTTTATAGTAAAGAATAATGATTTTATTCATATTTTTGGAATAATTTCTATAACAAAAATAAAAACTTCACATAGTTTTTTAGTACTTGCTACGATTAGAGTTATCTTCCTAGTTGTATTCTAGTTTGGGACAAAAAGCTTAGATGCATCTTTCTCCCAAACTAATTACATTCTGTTTCACCAATAAACTCATCAACTCACTTCCTCCTGACTATGCTGGCAGGGTAAAGTCAAAGCCAGGTACTAAAATCCAATTACACAAACATGTAATAGGGCAGTTAGCAGAGGCCATGACTCAGTTTCTGTAGGAACCCCTATCATGTAACACGTAGCAACCAGGGGAGTTTAGATCCCCTGACAACTGTGCAGCACACCCTCAGTGGCAGAACCACCATCACCTCCATGCTCAATGAGAGGTCTGAGCACCACCAAAACACTCATGTTAACTCCTGAGGGACAGAGAGCAGCATTGGAACAGCAGGAAAGCACTTGTTGCTTATCCTTGTTGTGCCACCCATTCTCCTTCATGCACTGCAGCCACACAAAGTGCTCAGTCCCACTGCAGGATGCTCTGGGAGATGCACGAGCAGCTTCCTGAAAGCCAACCAAACGTGACCATATGGGAACAGCTGCAGCATTACTGGGGACAACTCCAACAGTAAAATGCAAGAGATGAAAACAAGTGTAAAGCTCCCACAAACATGCACTGTAAACTTGCACATACAATAATTACACTTGGGAAATTGTCATACAGTGGCAATCTACACGAGCAGATAAATTTTCAACATCTGCTGTTCATAAAGTAATTTTGCAAAAATATAGTAACATACAAGGAAAAACCATTATTTTTATCTGCAATACTACAGTATTTTTTGCATACACACATAAACACAGAGGAAAGTGTCAGAAGTAATACTGATTTATTACAGCTGCAAATATATAGTATAGCTTGCCTTCACTTGGACACCTGTGAATTTTAAACATCCATTAAAAGAACAAGTTATCATTTCAAGGCAAGTCTCCATCTCCTTTTCAGTACAAAATAGCTAGGTGTAGGGAAGACAGAAATTTAATAAGAACAGCCTACATACAGAGGCAAAAGGAATACACCTTTATATGAGAAATCAAACCATTTCTGCTAAATACATTGGCATGTTAAAAAACAAGAACACCACAGTAAGCAGGGCTGAAACTCCATGCAGCCCTCTGACTTGATGGAGGACAAAGGCACATTTCTCCTCCAGCACCTTGCTTCCTAAAAGTGCTTGCTTTCCAAGAGAAATGGGAACCCCTTATAAGAGTGCTCTTACCACCACAACTAAACTCTCACTATACCATGCCTCTATAAAATAACCATCATTCAGAAAGAGCAAAACCCCTTGGGTATCAGAGGATATTAGGAAACCTACAGACACTGTGACAACTGCCACCACCCCAACAACTATTTCCTAGAAGTACACAAAGATGTTTAATCAGGAACTCCTGTACTGTTTGGAAACTTACCCAAGCTATGAAACCCTCCCTCTCCTTTAACAGTACCTTATTTACCCTAGATATTTTTCTGAAAAAATGCCTTGAGCTACACAGGGCAGTAACTTGAAGTTCTACAGTCATCAAAGAGCTAAGGTTTAATTTTCAACAGTGCAAGCTGTGAGGAAAATTGGGAATCACAGTTTTTCCAAGAATGTTCTTTGAATTGTTTTTAAGAGCCTTAATTTGAGTAGCCCACAGGCACAAAAGAGATAACCACTGACTTCAGCCATTTCTTACACAAGCTTCTAAGAATAGCCATGCTTACTCGTGTCCTTACACTACGCGCTGATACTTCGCTTCACCTGTTGCAGACTCGACCCAAATCTGACGAGTTTAAATGACCACTGTGAAACAAGCATAATTTTACACAGCAGCTTTGAATGAAAATTAACATTGCACTCATAACTTTTAAAGATAAAGCTTCATCCTTAACAGCGTTGCCATATTACAAGGGGACAGCACCAACTCCCACTGGGAGACCTCTCTGGCTCCTCCTTTAGCAACCAACGAGGAGTCTGGCGGAGTTGTCTTACCTCAGAAAAATTAACTGCCAAGGGTATAATTCCTGCCACATAGCAGGCAACCAGCATGGCCAGGGACAGCAGGCAGATGGAGGGGAAGTCATCCATTTCGCCGCTTTCTGTCCGCTCCCTTGAAGTGAAATCCAACAGCAGGTTTTCCACCTCTCCGCAGCGCACGCCTTAACCCGTGCAGACACGGAGCTCCCAGGAGAGGCTTTCGGCCATGTCTCTCTCTCCCGGCGGCAGCGGCCGGCTCGGCCCCCAGCCAGGGGTGCGCGGCCAGGGGGCGGGAGCGGCTCGGCCACGGGCAGGCGGGCCCGGCCTTCACCTGACGCGGGGGAACTTTCGCCCGCACCGTGCTGCTCCCAGGGGAGGCGGGAGGGAGGGCTGGGGGACGGCGAGCACGCAGGCGGCTCCTCACGGCGGGGCAGCGTCGGGCGGGGCCGAGGGACCGTGCGAACCGGCACTGCCAGCCGTGCCCACGGCCGCTGCCCCGGCGGCCAAGTGGCACTCGGCGCTTCCCCTTCCGGGACGGGCCGCGCCCGCCCCGCCCCGCGCGCTGCCCGACTCCAAGATGGCGGGCGGCGCCTCGGCCCGCGATGGGCCACGAGCGGCTCCCTCACCAAAGATGGCGGCAGCCGCGCCCCGCCCCCGCCAACCTGGCCGCCGGCTCTGCGGGCGCGTGCGCGCGCGGCGCTCTGGCGAGAGCGGCTCTATGGTAGCGGCCGTTGGCGCGGCGGCGCTTCCGGCGGGCGCGGGGGCCTGTGGGGGATCGCCGCGCGCCACTTCTGCCCGGCGGTGCTGAAGGAGCGGAGCCGCCATGGTGAGAGCGGGACGGGAGCGGATCGCCGCGTTTCGTGCGCACCGCGCCCGCCGGGGCAGCCTTCCCTTCCCTCCCCTCCCTGTCCCCCGGGGCACTGCGGGCGGGAAAGCCGCGGCCGGTGGTGCGGACCCGGGCGGGCGGCTGCACGTTTTGGCGGGGCAGGGCCGGACGGGGCGGGGGCACAAAGGCGGCGGCGGCGCTCGGAGAGCGGCGCGCTGGAGGCTCCCGCCCCACTCCCCGGCACCTTCGGGCCCTTCTCAGGGCGCTGCTCGGAGCCCCAGCGCTTCCCGCCAGCGTCGCCCGCCGAGCGCGCCGGCCTTAAATGGCTGATTTGCGCTTTCCATGCTGCTCTCCCTGCTCCTCCCCTCTGCTCGGAGGAGGGAAAGGCGGGAGCTTGCGTCGGTGGGCTCTGGGAATGGCACGCTGAAGCTCAGAGGCCTCCCTATCATCGCGGTTTGTTGCGTTCATGTAATAAATGAAGCTGTGCTGAAGCACGTTGTCGCTGTGCGGTGGGAGGACAGCTGCTTGTCCGTTTGCAGCGACGTTCCATGTCTGCCTGGTTCTTGCTCCAGAGCAGTTGCTCGGCCATGATGAGCAGCTACAGGCCCTGTCCCCGTTGGCCAGGATGAAAGGGGGGCTTAGACCACTTTTTCTGCCTGGCATTTGCGTGTGTTCAGTGCGCTGCTGCTTGGTATTTGCATCACTGCACACCTTACCCTTACAATATGCGTTTGTCTTTCACTATTATTGTATCGGGGCTTTTTTTTTTTTTTCCTCTTTTTTTCACTTTACTGTTGAATACACTACAATTGGTGGAAGTCTCTTTGGGCAGATGCTGCATAGCTTTTAAGTCCTGCTGGTTTGGCTCTTGGCCGTGCCTTAACCAGTTGTACAGGGTTCTGCCTTCAGTAGCAGGAGCAATTTCTAAAGTGCTCTCTAGAAGTTTGGAATTGGTATAATATAAACCATGTGGTGTTTCATTCTGTGTCCTGCTTCAAAGCAGCCAGTACCCACTGCGCTTTTAAGGAAAATGCAAAGAAATTCGACATATGTATCATCATAATAACGGTCCAGGTTTCTCCAGGTAACTGGTGCTAAGGCAGAAGGTTTATGGATCTTCCCTTGTTTTGGTTTTGTCACCTAGGCACGTGGGGCAGGTAATAGAGGAGCCTTCCCACAGGCTTCTGAGCTTGCCATTTTTTTGTAACTATGGTAGGACAGGACCAGCAATTTTATCAAATCAAACAATTTTTTTTTCCTTTAAAGTAAAATAATGTCAAGTTCCCAAAGAAGTGTTTGAAAAGCTTTAATTCTACAATACACGTGATCCAATGGCATTAATTTAAATATTTTCCTGGGCCAGTATCTGATAACAGATATTGTATAATGTCTGAAGTGATAAATGGCTTAAAGGCAGAAGCCCAGATGATTTCTGCTGCAAAGTTCTGAAGGAACCGGCTTACATGTCTGGCTCATTGATTTTTCTATAATCTGATTATTTGGATAATTTCAGAATTTATACATTCATTTAGCACCCCTCAGTGACCATCTAATTAGAATGATAGTGCTGGGAAAATTATTTTATGGTAATCTTTGGCAGTCATTTGGGCTCCCTGCTAAGACATGCCTGTTCAAGTACAATGCACTTGGAACAGCCAGATACCAGCCCCCTTGGGGAATTCCCTTCAAATCCATCATCCTCTGGCATACATGAAAGTGGATTTAAATGATCTTTTGTATGATTTTTGTTGCTAGAGTGTGCAGCTCAGAATTCCCCTTTTTTCCATTTCTGACTAGGGAAAGTCTTGCTCCTTCTTTTTCTCTGTGTAACATTTTCCAGAACTTCTCAGAATCTGCTACTGCTGCGTTGAGACAATTTGAAGCACTGAAAACTGTATTCCAAGCATGGGAACTCTGTCAGTTATGGGATAAGAATTTGTCCTGTTGTTTGGGTTTTTTCCCTGTAAATCCTAACATTTGCCATTTCTCTTTCTGTCACTGCTTTTCACGAGCACTGAATTGGTATATTCACCGATTTCCAAAGTATGGGTCAGGATTTTTCTGTCAGCCACTGATTAATCTAAGCCAAAGGATGTCTTCCCCTGCCGTTGCCTCTGTGCTATGTGCTCACCTCAGACATTAGCACTGAAAATGTTGGATCCAATTAGCAGCACTGGAAACGGCCATTTGCAGCTTGCTTGCAAACTTTCTGTGGTATGCAACCTGTTAATTAGATCACAGATTGTCTACACTTTAAAAATCTCGCTTCTTTGCTCAAATTACTTGCTGTAGCCAAGTGAAAAGTGTTATGGAAATAGTGGAAGCCACAGAGTGTGCAGTCATCTAAGCCTTCCCTGCAGAAGAACAAGCCTATGGACTCCACATTTGGAACAGTTTTCTGTGCTGTACTTACTGTTTGAGTGAACTCATTGAAGTGGGAAAAGCCAGTACATCTGTTTTGCAAGAAATAATCTTGGGTGCTAAGTGCAGATTTATTGTAGCATTAGTGTTCCCTTGAAGGGAAATCAATAACTCAAAATAGCTAATTCTGTTAAAATCTTTCAGGTGACAGTGTGGTTAAGTTGGGTCCCCTCTTTGCTCTAATTAAAAATTTGAGAAAAAAAAATTTGGGGCATTGAAAATTTTGCTAACAGCTTGCAATTGGAATAAAATAATTAAACACACTAATGCCACAGCTCTTACACATTGACTTTATTGCTTTGCTTGTCTGCCTAAATATAAACTCTTTCTGTGGTATTTTTTTCCAACACAGTAGTGGCTCTACTGCTGATTCTACACATTTTAAAGTTCCATAAGGATTGATAGGACTTGTTGGAACCAAAACTTAGTAACTCAGCTTATACAAATAGTAAATGCTGTGTGGAAAATGTCTGTCCTTGATTGCTAGTCTAATACTTTACCATTACACATCTTTTTACTCCTTCTTTCATATAAATAACTTGAACAAAAATCTTTTAAATTGTGCAAGTAACCTGTGTTTTTGTGTTTGTTTTGTTTTCCAGTCTCACACAATTCTACTTGTCCAGCCTACCAAGAGGCCAGAAGGCAGAACATATGCTGATTATGAATCGGTGAATGAATGCATGGAAGGTGGGTGGATGCAGACATGGGAGTTTAAAACTGTTGTTTAAAATCCTATTTTTGACATATTCACAAGCTTAATAAGAAAATAAGTTGCTCTTCATATTTTTCAAAGGTCATTCACAAAAACCCTCATGTTTTTAGCTTACTGATGTTCTAGCAAACTAAAAACTAGTTATTATTTGTTTCTAAAACTTTTTCTATTTAATATCTGGTTTTGATTTAACTAGATGAAACATCCAGTTTGGGAGAGTCGCTGATATTCTTTCTTTCATGCAGCAAACTTGTTTCAATGCATTTCATTGCAGGATCAGCACTTAATTCTCACTATTCTTTTCTGAGCATTGTAAGGCAAAGATTGCTGCTGGAAATACTATATTAAATAATGGATTGTGTGCAATTGATACATCATTTGCAGTCTCGTGGCACATATGTCATAGTAAAGATCCTGCAAAACTTTGATACACATAATGGCCATTGGAAGAAAATTGAAATATTAGAGCTGTAGTTCACTTAGCATTAATCTTGCAGGAGGTTTTGTGAGGCAAACAAAAGTATAACGAAGTCTCTGTGCTCATTTTAATATTACATTCTTCTCAAATGTATCTGAATTATTGGTGGACTAGTTTAAATAAATCAAAGTGTTTTAAATGTGTATACAGGTTCATGCTGTCACTCTTACCTCAATACTCTGTTTGACTCTTGTATCAAGAATGATCATTCTTATGAGTTCTTCTGTTTCTCAGGTGTTTGTGCAATTGGAGTGTTCTAATTTCTGTCTTAAAATTATTAGAAGGCGTTCCAGATGTCTGTTGGAGCTTACTGCATGGAAAATTACATATTTGACAGAACTAAACTTTTTCCCCTAGATGATGAAAACTTTTCTTTCCATGCATCTTACCTGATTTTATAAAATTACGTTTCAATGCAAATTGCCAGGAACAAGAGAATTTCAGCTCTAGAAAATCTGATTGCTTTTACAGTAGTAATGTCTAAACTTTTATTTGTGGATCAAGAGCTGAAAAAGTTTCAGCTTATACAGTCTTTTAATATTGCATGGTTGATCTTGTTTCTCTGTAGGAGTCTGTAAAATGTATGAAGAGCATCTGAAGAGAATGAATCCCAACAGTCCATCCATTACATATGATATCAGCCAGTTGTTTGACTTCATTGATGACTTGGCAGACCTCAGCTGTCTTGTGTAAGTTCAGTTGTACAAGTCCATGTCAGTGACTTAGCAAAGTCACAGGTCTTCCCTCTAAACTCTTCTGTGAGAGTTTAACATAATGCTGTTTTGTGTGCTTTTTAGCACTAACTGCAGTGCAGCAGTAGTGCAGCTGCCCTAGCAAGTTCCCAGGCAAGTTAAGTGCATAGGTACAAGGTACCTCTAAAGGCTTAGAAACCAACGGTTCCACTTGGATTTCACTCACATTGAAGCTGACTGAAATCCAGCAGTTAAGTACAGCTGACTGTTTTATTACTACTAGAATCTGTTTAAATTTCCCTTTGTGCTGTTAGTGCAGTCCCTCAGGAGGCAGAATGGTTACAGAATTTTTCTCAGCTGAGGGCATTACTTGTGATAGAGTAGCAGGCTACAGAAGTGCATTGCAGCCAAAAGTTTGTTTTGGTCAAGATACAGCAAGATCAAAGTTTATCTAACAGACTGAAACTAGCCACTTGTTTTAGGTGGTAGCAACTGTTTTCTAGGATAGTCTTGTGCCTTTTTTAATTAGGCTTCTAAAATCTGTGTTCATGCCAAATTCTACTTCAGCTCATAGTTTTCCACCAGATGGCACACATATCACAAGGTGTAAGAGATGCCTCTTCTTCACGGAAATTTCCTGAAGTACTTGATGTCTGCTCTTGCTGTGTAGCATTATGAAAGGATTTGGCGATGGAGGGTAGAAATCAGTAATTTTTCCTGAAAGTAGCATTTCTTACATTGCACTAGAACTACTGCTGTATGAACACACATTGAAGCTCTTGGTTTGGCCTTGATGCCATCATGCTGAGGTTTAAATAAAATAGTAAGACTTCCTTAGAAATATCATGCTTAGGGTCTTTTCCTTAGGTAAGAACTATTAATTGTTCTGGAATAAGTTAACTTGGGATTTTTACTTATCTTCTTACCACTGTCCCTTTCACCCTTCTTATCTATCAGAAATAAAAGTATATCAGGATTTAAAGACTGAGCAGGACTTCAGTGGTTCTTGAATCATTCACTGAAAGTACCATCTTCATAAACGAAATATTATATAGGAGGACATGAGCCTACACAGACCTTCACTCAGATTGCTTTCATTTTTCAGTCTCATTCTGTTTTAATTCAACATGCCCTGAGTAACTGAATTCTCTGGCCCTTGCAGGTGGACTGTTTTTATCAACTATGCTTGAATAGCAAAGAAAATGCATCCATGGGGTCTTGTTTTCAGTTTGCTTTTTATAAAGTATCCTTGTTAGGTGTAAGCTTGTCCTCAGTGCCAACTGGCAAGAATCCTTTGTCATCCATCTGTGAGTCTGCCTTTGCCCCTGAAAAAAATTGATCTTAAAAATTTTTTTAAAATTCCACACAAAAGTTGAACACTTGAAAGCTTAAATAAATCTTTGAAGTAATGTTGAAGAAGTGTTTGACTCATTAAGACAAATTAGATTGTTTCCTGGTGGAACTATTCTTCTGCAGGCTGAGCTCTAGAATGCTAAGATTCTCTACTTGCTGTCTCCCTTAGGTAATTAAATGCATGAATTAAAATATGAACACAATGTTCCAGTCACCCAGTAGTGCTTGGAGCATCTCGTTTTGTTTCAGGCTCAGTCTGATCTGCTGGACAGCTGTTTTATAGAGAACAGGATAAATCCATTTGATAAGTGGCAATTCCCACCTAGTTCTGATGCTACCTTCTGTACACCACTTTTTACCTCATACACTTGAGGACAATTAATTGTGAAGTTCTTCTGGTAGATGTACCACAGAGCAGACTGACGTTTCTTGTTTCCTCTGCAGTTACCGTGCTGATACTCAGACATACCAGCCCTACAACAAAGACTGGATAAAGGAGAAGATCTACGTTCTCCTCCGCAGGCAGGCCCAGCAAGCAAGCAAATAATGGGGGCACCATTGCTACGTGGGTTTGGGGGGTTTGGACAACAGGTGTGTACAGAGTGTAGTGGTGAACGTTTTGTATTATAGTCATCCTGTTGCCATCTTGATAAACTCGTTAGCCGGGACTGATTGTACTTTTAGGGATACAAGGATTTTGTTGGATTGGAATTTTTTTCAGTGTAAATGGAGAAGAACGTACATCTTCAGCAGAGTTTTGGGTTTTTTTCCTCCAGTTTGCTAATGGTCCTACCTTATTTGAACCCCTGGGGCTGTTCACATTGTACTTCACCACATTTGCTGTATGTGCCCTTCTGTGGGTTTTTTACATTCAGTTATGTCCTTGAGATGTCTTAATGGGAAATAAAGATCTACCCTTTAGTTAAACTTGAGTGCTCAATTTTGTGGTTCCTTCCAAAAAACACAAATCTTTTTCCCCATTATCCAAGGGATATGGCTTGAAAGGTCATGTGGACTGAACCAGCAGTTGTTTCCTGTGTTACAGAACACCTCAAATTCTGGCTCAGTCTTGGTGGTTTTCCCTGGGCATCTTTGGAAAACAGCAACCCTTTTACACTGCACAGCTGATCTCTCTACGAGGCATTGTATGTAGGTGTGTCTGCTCTGGAATTGGTGGTGGGTAAGAGCAGGCTGAATGTATGACATCACAGGCCCCTTGAATTAGTCTGCTTACAATTTTCCCCCAAGAAAGGAATAGACAGAGCAGATTGCTCCCATGAAAATCTGCCCCAAACTTAATTTTCTCTGTACAGAAGATAAAGACTTAACTGTTGACCCACACTGTAAGTTACGTGTGCCTCCGTCTGTCTTAAATGCTGATGTTTCTGTAATTTCACTGTACTGAAAAGATTTGGATTGGAGGACACATTAGACCAAAAAACAGAGCAGGTAGAAAAGAAAGGCTGGTGTGGTACTTTGTGCCTTTAGAGTTTGCCTGCTGTAGGAACAGACTGTACAGATTACACTTAACCAAGAGTGGTTCTGGGATTGACAGAGGAATGCCATTCTCCCCAATGCACTTAATTTCCTAATACACATCAATAGTTTCTGATGGACCTCACAGCAAATGCACTGTCTGAAAAGAATCTGAGGCAAAGTGACTGTCTATAGTAAAGCTTCAATGAAAGTAGCTTTACTTAAGTGATAAGTAATAGCTGCTGAAGACTGGAAATCAAATTACTGAAGGGATATAAATTCTTAGAAAGAAACTGGGTGAGGGTGTTAAACCTCTCAGCACCAATACAAGTTGGAGATTAGACCTACTAGCTCTAGAATTTATAGTGACAAGGAATAAATTCAATCTGCTAACATCAAAACATGCTTCCTTTATAATGAATAGTGATTTTCAAAACATTGTAGGTCAGAAATATATTAGTACACTTAGGATTATTAAATCAAAAAATACTTTGGGGCATGTAAGTTTTATATCCAGCTTGAAAACAGTAAGTAATACTTTAAAAATTCACTATTGCCCATATAATAACATTCAGATTTAATACAAGCAATGTTATTTTTAAAGCTTTTATAGTTTATCCTCCTGAATAGCACATACTTAAATAACATGCTCGCTCCTAACATGTTTGAGGTTAATTTCAATTTTTTTTTTTGTAAAATTTCCAATATTCTCTTGGATGAAATTTTGCAGTCTTTAAGCGAACCCAAATAAGCATTTACCTCGTTCTGTGGGCTTGCTTTTAATTTAAGAACAACCAGCAATGTGATCTCTTTCCTTACTGTGAAAAGCACAAAGGAGCATGCTGAATCTCTAGTAATCGGGCATTGGAACACAGCACAGCTCTTCCTTCAAAGGTACCTTACTTAGGTCTGATTTAAGAAAATCTTCCTCTTCCTTGATTTTGACTCTACTATGATAACTGTGCAAACTCAGACCAGTAAACAAGTATAAAATACAAATTTATTATATTCAAACAGAAAATAGGAAGAAGGTACTTTAAAGGAGGTGGTAATTAACCTTTCTGCTTTTTGAAAGGGACTTTGTGAAGATATGATTTTTAATGTTTTGGAAAGTAGAAGGTTGCAATCTTTAACCTAAAGGTTACTTCACTTTTTTTTTTTTTTTAAACATACAGACTGCTGTGGTCATTTCAGTAATGGAAGTTTTCACAGAATTGAAGAATGCAAGTAAGTTGTCCTTTCATATCTCTGGAGCCAGATTTGGCCTTCTGCAGATAAAAAAGTGTGGTCTGGAAGCCACTTCAGAAGAAGGGATTTGGGCATCATCTCTTTTCCCCCCTCTTCATCCAGCTACAGGTCTTTTTTTCTTTTTTCTGAAATAAGCTACTAGACACAACTCTAGTGCATAGTTCTTGAGCTGCTGTTTTCCATAATACTTCACTGCATTTTACTTGATTAACTATTTATGAAACAATAGATTTGCTGCTGAGCTGAGCACCTGACAAATACTCTGAAAGGGAGAAAGAATGCTACAGTATCTATCCAATGTGCAACAAGCTACAAAGAAGAATCTAGAAAGTTGTCTCCCACTAACCACCTGGTGCCTTCAGAAGTTTAGTGGAGAGGGTTATGAGCACTTGGAAACTTATTACATGCACTTATTACTGTAGGCTGTTGTAGCAGACTGTGAAAAGTGACTTCACTTTGCTTCTTTGCTCCTACTGAGGGAGGAATGGATGGCAGCAGGGCATGTAGTACCTCTTGCAGTTGCATTTGTCCTCAGAGGCATCAGCACTTTGATAGTGACATACTGAAAATTGCCCAAGTTCAACTACTATAAAAGTGAGGTTCAGTAGCAGCATTTTGCAGGTAAAGCCATTAAAAATGGTATGATTGTAGAAAAGGAATCAAAAGAGAATCTGTCATCCCATGCATGCTTTGCCTGCAGCAAGTTTTCTGGGGCTTCTTAGGTATGGATAGATACAAGTAACTGTGCTGGTCATGCCTGCTACAGCGTGGCAGTAAAGGACAAAGGAAATTATATTGGCTGCTTCTGTAGGAGAGTGGTACAGTATTTTAAAACGGATTAAGAATGGAATCCAGAGACCTAGTATTTCCAAGTGTGTAAAAATACTTAATTTTGTTAAAAGCAAGTCCATTAAGGAAGCCTAGCCTCAGACCAAGGAGCTGTATGAGCTATTTGCCAGGACTGCAGAGGAATTGAGGAACTTGCCTGACTTCTGCTTGCCTTGTGGAGCTCTGAGCTATGCTGCTTCTTTGCTAATCACAGACTTGGGAAGTCCTCCCACAGTTTCTGGACTGCCTGCCATGGACTGCAAGTTGAGGAATGACCAGACTGGCACAACTCATTTCTTGGCAGGGCTGTTCACTAAGCAAATTAGTAGGGTGAAGTTATGTGAGGTGGCTGAGCTGAAGTAGCAGTTCACTGCTGTTGAAAGGCATAATGCTGCTTCACACTACTGCACAAAAGGGATACTGGGTGTTGTGGGGAAGGGGAGAACAGGACTGCTAGTCAGCACCAACAAGCAGAGCAGCTGGTCATTTAAAGATACCCAAAAGCTGATATTTGAGAGCAAGCACAAGCACAGTAGATAAACTGGTGTATATATAAAGCACCCATTTATGCCTTTGCAAGCTCCTGCCAGTCAGTAATGCACTGGGTCAGGGAGTAATCCCACTAAGATTAGACTGTGAGTTGTGTTTGACACCACAATAATACCAGGATCATTCTTACAGGAATCCCACTCTGCAGCCTCCTTCAGTATGCTGAAGGAGAATTGTGAAAAGCAGAATTGAGTTTGCCTTCCTGCTCTGAGGGTGAAATAAGCTAGATAGTTAAAATACTTGCCTACTATTGCTTCCATCATCATGTTCTTTTAAAATAGACTGAAATCCTGACATCCATCACAATGCATTACAAGCACAGCAGGAAAGTAGCATCATTGCTAGATCAGTCTGTTCTTGTGCTTATCACCATTGTCAATGTACAGTGGAGGAAAAAAGAAGTCAAGACCACCTCGTTATCTTCCTTAGTAACTAATAAACCTGTTTACAGCAAGAGGAGACTTGACTACCCACAATATTTTCAAGGTTGAAAGATTTTTTGACTTGCATTAGAAAATGGTAAGTTGTAAAATTGCTGGTTGGGTTCTCATTACCATGTGCCAAGCAGTTTGTGCTGGTTCATGATGCACTGAAAGCAAGGGTGCTTTTTAGGATGACTTACTCTCAGAAGGAAGAGGGGAAAGCTCCAGCTGCTTGACTTTGGAGTATATAAGAGTTATGTACATTTGCAATCCCCACTGAGTAAGGGTCTGATTTTACTGGAACTCAGCTACACTGAAAGGTCGTTCCATCAAAAAAAAAAAAAAAAAAAAAAAAAAAAAACAACCCACAGAAAAATCAAGGGTAGCTAGGTTACAAGTGCAAAACAATTAAAACCTTCTGATTTTCAATTGCTCTGAAACCGTTGTTTTCTAGACCCTGGTGAGCATTGAAACAAATTGGTTTACTGTTATCATAGGTTCAGGGGGGCAGGGAGTTTCAGTTAGCAGTGTCCAGCAGGAGATGGGCTGTGGGTGAGGCTAAAGACTCTTAGCCTCAGTTAGCATCTGAGCCACTCATTTGAGGTACCCACTGGCCTTTGAAGTCTAAAAGCATTGACTTTCAAGGTAAAATGATAAATAATTTTTACTAGCTATAGATAATTGGCAAGAGTACATCTGTTAAAATAGAAAATTAATTTTGCACCTCTGTTGTACTAGTCAATTCCCTCAAGTTTTCCACACTGAGTGTATTGTCTGCTATAATGTTACTCAGTGTTGCCCAAATACAAGGTAGGATTCATGGAAACAGCAGGGAATGAATCTGCCACAGAAACTCACTGAATGGAGATGCTCAGCTTTGCATAGTACAAAGCAGCTCTCTATTATCACCCACTAATATATGCTTCTTCCTCACTATATCTGAAAAGGATTAAGGTAAAACCTGTCTTGATTTGTCATAGGAAAGCATTAGATTGTAGGAATTAGTTTTCTCATTACTGTAATCTGAACTATGCCTATAGGAACATTTTATCTGGATGAAGTTTGGGCATAGCTCCAATTCATAGGTTTTATTCAAACTCTTTGTGCTGAGTTTGCAGTGACACACAAGTAAAACCTGCATGCTGCATGTGCCAGCTCAGCACCATTCCTGGTGAGCATTAGCAAGGGTTTTGTAACCAATTTTGTACACCCCTGAGTGATCTGCTGCTGTACCCCCTGCAGTGTCTCCACAGTCCCCAACCAAGACTGTTACTGTGGGCTGTCCTGTGCATCAGTGACATCCACACATCTGGAGCTCTGTAGCTGCTGCCTGCCTGTGTTTGTGCCAGGTAAGTCAACAAGAGCTGCAGAGGTGAAACATGCAGCAGTGTCCTTGGAGGCTGTATTGT